GAGGAGAGTCAGGTGAAGAGAGAAGGGCTTTTCTTTTCTCTTCAATTTTCTTTTTCAAAGCTGCTTGTTTCCTGCTTCTTTCAAAACCGAAGTGGACAGCAATGTGCCGGGGGGACCCCAGCGCGAGTGTTTCGTTGTTGTTGTTCACTTGTGGGGCCTTGTGAAGGTTTTTGTTATTTTTATCCTCGTACAACGGTGAACTTTTCCTGCCGCCCGTTCCCTTCGTTTTAGCCCGTCTTCTCCTTGTGCTCAATGGGCTGTCCTTCTCTGACCATCATCAACTGCACGGTGTTCTTTTTTCTTTTCTTTTTCTTTTAAAACTGTGTTTTCTTTGTGCTGCAAACAGTCTTAATATCCATTCAGCACTCTTCCCTCCCCCGCCTCCTTTCCCCCCACACCCCTTGCACACAGTGAAACCTGGAGCCTCTTCGCTGGACTTTGCAGCCCCGGGAAAGAAATTTTTAAAAGTCTCTCTCCCCTCCCTTCTCCCTTTCTTGGGGTGTGTGTGTGTGTGCGCGCGTGTGTGTGCGTGTGTGTGTGTGTGTGTGTGTGTGTGTGTGTGTGTGATTTAAACCGGATGCAGGGCGTCCGTGGTACTTGGGTGAGTAGTTACTGACAGTGCTTTATCCTTCGGGTGGGGATGGGAGGGGGAGCAGGGAGGCTCCATTGCACTTTGACGAGCCGCCTCCTCCACCGTGGAGTGTCCACAGTGTTCATTGTGGTTACAAGACTGTGTGTAGGATAAACAGGGAAAGGACATGAGGAAGCTTTGTGAGAACTCGGGTTGCAGTGTTACTTGTGACAGTGAAGGCACTTTAAAGAGGCTTTTCCCTCCCTCTTCATCTTCTCTGTTCGTGTTGCTTTGAGAGTTGAAATTGAAGTCAAGTTGTTCATAAAGAATGTATGAAGCTTCTCAACTTGAAACGTGTGTATATTTCACTTTCTTTATGGTTGTTGAGATCTAGGCATGTGTGCACTACTCAACAGTCTTTATTTTGGCTTTCTTTGGACAGTGACTTATGTCTGGTGAGCGGAGAGAACTTTCTCCTTTTAAAGTCTCTAAAAATACCTATTTTCCTCTGTAGATTTGAATACTTTATCAGTCCTCAAATAGTAGGACTCTTGGTTGGAGGTAACTGTTTTCCAGATCCTGTAAATTTGTTCATTTTTCAGCCTAACGTTTAATGAACAGATTATCAGTAAAAAGTTTTGATAATGAATGTGTGCTAAAGCATTTATAATATTACATTTGCACATATTGAAGTTTACAATCTGGAATTTTAAAATATTTATTTAAATAGTCTTCTTCATAACAGTAAACATATATTGGTTTACCTGACAGAGCAGCCTGTGAATAATGTGACAGTTTTAATTATTCTTGAGATTTTCAATGAGCAGGTTGGATAATTGTAATGCTGTTAAGGCTAATACTTTGTAAAATAAGAGTTTTGTTTTGTTTTTAAAGAAAAACTTTCCCCCTGTCAGTTCATTTCCATGTGATTGCTATTTTAAATGAAGATGATACTTTGTTCTGAAGTCTTTCTCAGAGCACTCAAATTCCTTCATATTTACTCGACCCCTCCCCCAATCTAGATTCCATGCAAGTCTCTAATACTAACTTGTATTTTTTTTTCTGTTCAGATGAGTGTCAAATGCCTGAACACTTTTGGATGGTGAAGTTCCTGGTTCCCATACATTCTCTGAAGTTAATAGGAGTTTTGCTGTCTAGAGACAGCTTTAGACCTTATGCTATTTACATAATAGGTTTTCAGCTGAGTAGCTTATATGTTATAATGTTATGGTTTAATATTTTTACTTGCAGTGTCCAAGGACTTTTTTTTGAGGCATTTTACTTCTTATAATTATCTCAGATTCAGTAATTCAGACTTCCACTCATCAGTTGATTTGAGAGCAGGGCTTAACTGGAATCCTATCATCTATTTTTGAAAACACATATGTGATACAAAGTTGCTTTTAGAGATTCTTTGGGCTCAAGCATGTCAACATTATTCATATGGATTGAGAAAATAATAACCAGAAATACTATCTAGTGATGCATTTTTAAGTTTAACCCAAGGGTAAATACTTAGCACTTTGTTTATTCTTTCTGTGATATTTTTCCTTGGAGAGGACTATATTGTGTATTGGTATTCTTCTGTGTTCTCAGGTTTTAGAGTAATAGAGATCTCTGAAACTGAGTGACCACACTTTTACACTAAAAGTATTAAATAGAAGTCATTTGTAGCTTATTTTAGTAGCTGAATATCTGTGATTCATTATATGTCATAATACCTAGTTTAATCTTTTTAGGTTGTTTTGCCAATGGGTTACATTAAACTGTATAGAGATATTTTTGTAGTACATTTACATGTACTAATATAGTATAGTAAACTTAAGCACATTACTAAAATTCATTCCATAATTTTTTCATTATATGGGATAGTTATGCCTAATTTAAAAAACAATATTTCTCTAGTATTCAAGTCTTCTTATATTCTATGTAGATACTCAAAAGTTTTATAGTTTATAAGTTTCATATATGTTAACCCTAAAGAAAAAATATTTTTTATCCTAAAGTTAATATGGTATTTTTTTATCATTAAGAATTAAAATGAATGAATCAAATCAAGATGGATATAATGTATTATTTAAATGGCATGTGTGTGTTACTTTTTGGTAACGTTTTCTTATTCTTGAGAAAGTTGATTTTGTGTGTGCTTTCCTCTAATTTGAAAAACCACTAAGTAGGTGGAATATGATTTTGCTTTTCAAAATTTATGAAGAGTGTGTATATGTGTGTGTTTAAAAGGGTGGATATAGCATCAGATGTATGGGAAGAAGTAAAAAAAAACCCAAACTTTTCTTAACAGCCTAATAGGAATGTTACTTTGTTCTTGGCAATATAGTGAGACTTGGTTATAAAAAATGAGAATACCAAGTAAACCTTTAAATTATGAAGACACTGTTGGGGTTTTTTTGTTTTTGTTTTTATGTTGAACATTAGCCTAAAAATCTACTTTCAGTTACTTTAAAAATAATTTCCCCAATGTAATCATTTGCCTTCAACTCTTTGGTATAAATTTCCACTGGCCATCAAAAGCCAGATTTAAATTCCTTTCTGTTCACAGGTGCATAGTGTTCCCATATTTTGGAAGTCCCAGATTAAGTGGATTTGACTAATTCTAGCTTGTTAGGGACAGATGGCTGTGTTAAACAGGTGTCACTTTCATTTCTAGTGCATTGTGTTGAGACTTCCAGTGGTTCACAAAAGAATTGTCTAAAGCAGGTGGCATCCTTTGCTTTTGTCCTTAGTAAAATATACTTTTGGAGTTGTTTTCCTAGGAAAAGTTTTTTTGTGTTGTGTTTTTTTTTTTAAGTAAAAGTTTTGAACTATTCAAATTCAGGTTTATAATTTAACACCTTTTATTTCTGAATATTATTCTGTTTTCAGTCTGTGTAAGTTGCAGATCCTTTCACAAAACACTTAAAAATTGTTACATTGTAATGGAAAATTCCCTTTAAATCCAGAAAAAGTACTCAGGAGCACTTTATACAATAAGTCAAATTTATCTGAAGCAAGAGGCTAAGGCAGATTTGAATAAAGTAAAATTTGGTTAACATGACAAGTTAACTTTTGCCATCCCATCCATAAAGAATTTTTTTGATAGCATTATTTTAATTTGAATGATAAATGTTGGAAACTAGTGTTTTTGTTGCTGCATTATTTTAAAACTAAAACATTTTCCTCACTTCAATTGTTACTATAAACTTTTTAGTGCTCTTTTTAAATGAAAATTGTTTTTAAGCATTATGTTTAAAAATATGTACTGGAGTAAATAAAAGTACCAACTTACTGATTTCTTAGGTTCATTTTTACTCAGATTCTATCCTTTTTTTTTTTTTTTTTTTTGGATGGGAATTTTATATGTATTATAACAGATGCACCAGAGGGTGCTGTGCTGTTTGTAACATGAAATTATTATCAGTAAGAATGTGTACTGATTGGAACTTTTGTTTAAAGGAAAATTTGTAATTATATGTGCATTTAAGCATTTGATGGCCTTATTTCTATGGAATTTAAATTTAATGTACTGTCTTAATTGGCAGTTTTATATCAAAGCCTATCTTTCTCTGTACTAATTTATGTTAGCACAACAGAACAGTATCAAGACTGCTTTGGCATATCTGAATGTCAGCATTAGTCCTATAGGCATGTATGTTGGTCATCATCTTATGCAGGTATTTCAGTCTCCATCTGAAAATTTTCGTTTCACTTGAGAATCATACTATTTAGTCAGTGTAGATTTTGTACTATGTAAATTTGGTATTATTGGCACATATTGTACATTCTTAAAACATTTTTATATGACATGACTAGTAATATGCTTTTTATGGCATAATCTTAAAAAAGCTACCTCAGCCAGCTGGTGTGATTCAGTGGTTGAGTGTCAACCTATGAACCAGGAAGTCTCCGTTTGATTCCCAGTCAGGACATATGCCCAGGCTGCGGGCTAGATCCCTGGTATGGCACGTGCAGGAGGCAGCAACCAATGATTATTTCTCATTGCTGATGTTTCTATCTCTCTGCTTATCCCTTCCTCTCTGAAATCAGTAAAAATAAAAAATAAAAAAACTACCTCAGAAGTATAAATGACAATAATATTTATGAGGTTAATTAAATCAACAATAATAATACCATTAAAAATTGTCTGGAGAATTCAGTCCCCACTTCATGCTGTTGAAGTAGTCTGGTTTGAATATTTAATTGGGCTTTGTTATCTGAAAAGTTTTAGATTCCCTGCCTTACTATTTATCATATAATTCCAAACTGGAAATGATCTATTTTAATATTTGTTCATTGAGAGCTTTTTTAGGAGAATTAATTCAATTTAACCTCTTGGGCTCTGGTTGCATCATTGGTTTTCTTTTCTCAGCAGGGATATATGCTAAAAGATACATAACTGAAATAGTAGCAGTCAGTATCTTCCTTAAGTAGCTTAGAAAATTATGGTTATATCATATAAACTTTTTTCCTCCAGATAATGGAGTTACCTATACTGTTAATCTCATTTAACTACAATCAGCAAAATATGGTATTTTAATGAGGTACCACTATCAGGAATAGTATTTCATATGATGGAATGCCACAGAGAATCCAAAACATGTAGAGGTAATAACAACATTTTTAAATACTAGTCTTATTAAAATAACTTAGATATTTGTCTTTTAAAATGTGGTCCTACTATTTACCATACAGTTTATGCTATTATGATTTTTAAAGTATATTATATGACATTGTTTCAAAACTTTTATATTTGAAGTATTATATTTCACATCAAAGTATGAGATGTACTTTAATGAAAACAAATCAGTTAAAATTGAAATATATTCAGAGTATCAAATAGGTATATGTTTTGTTCTTTAACCCTTTTCGGTCCAACGTGGAGGCTGACTCGACAAACTAGGCGCTAGGAGCAGGTCCAACGTCGAGGTGAGGTCCACCGCAAACCGGTTCAACATTCAATCCCGTCAATTAATTTGGACCAGACTGTTTGAATTCCAAAAATAAAATTGGACCGCAAAGGGTTAAAACTGTTCTTTCTAAAATGCAGGTGTGAACTTGTTTTCATGAAATGCTAAACTTAATATGAGAGAGAGAGAGAGAGAGAGAAAGGGAAGCATCGATTTCTTTGTTCCACTTAGTTATGCATTCATTGGTTGCTTCTTATATGTGCCCTGATCAGAGATGAACCTGCAACCTTGGTGTGTTGGGACTGTGCTCTAACCAACTAAGCTACCACACCAGGACCTGTGTTTTGTTTTCTTTAAGTAGATCAAAGGAAGTATACTGGTTAAGAACACAGGCTTTGGAGTCAGATTTCAGTTAATCTTATTAGCAGCGGGACCTTGGACAGGTTATTTACCGTTACCTAGACTCAGTTTTCTCATCTGAAAAATAGGGTCAATCTTACCTGCATTATAGGCTCTGTGAAGATTAAAGGGAATGATTTATGTGATGTGCTTTGCTCAGTATTTGACACAGAATATATGCTCAATTCTTCTTATTAGGGACTACTAGAAGATACGCATTCTAATCTTTTAGCCATCTAAGAATCCTTTTAATATGCACTTGACCACCGCCTTCCCAATGGGCTTTAAGTTGCGAAAGACTTGGCCCACTAATATACATTAATTGAATAATTCTTCCTTCCTCACCACTTTATAAAATAAACACACAAAGCTACCAACCACAGGATTGGATTACTTTTTGATAATCAGTCTTATTATTTCACTGAATTAATAGGATACTAGTTTAAAGTGATATTTTAGTTTTACACTGCAGCCTTGTTTTAATGGATTTCTCTTACTATATTTGTATTATTCTCCTGGTTCAGGTATCTTAGACTGAGGACTAATGATGCAGCATTTAATAAACTCTTACACTTGTCATTTCATTATCCAGTATATATTTTCCTTTTCATATTTGTTATACATGAATACATTTGAAAACATTTTGAACCTTATAAGCTTTATACAAAACAGTCTTTAATATAAAAGAATGGCAATAGTTGTTGAATTCATCAAGAAATTATTCTATAATTTTATAATGCACTGCTTACAATTATTTTGCTAAGGGTAGCAATAAGTAATTTCGGAAGAATTTGCCAGCCCTAACTTTGAGATATAGTAACCTTAGAACATTATGCAATAAAATATATAATATTAAATTGTAGAGGAGAAATGTCAACTTCAGCTCCATTTCTTTGACAATTAAAGATGTTTAAATAAACATTGTAGTTGGCTGCTATATATAAAGTTGGTATTTAGTAATTTACAATATATATTTTCTACACATTTGATTAAGAATGGATTTTTTTCTTATTTTAGTCTAAAATATCCCTAATGTTTTTCAAACTGGAAATGTCATTTATACATTTTAATTTAAAATTTACTTGATAACAGTGTGTCACCTTTGCTGAAGTACTGTATATTGTAGGCTTTTTGTCTGCCTCTCTCATCTTACCTGCTGCCTCCTCCCTAGTCCTATTTAGTGTTTATTATATGACTCCTTTTACATTATTTTTATAGATAATTAGCCTAACATATAAAGTAGGGAGACTCAGCTCAGCCATCTCATCTGCTTCCTTTCTCCAGTGAATTTGACACATATTTTTAAAGGAATATTTGGGAAAATGCTAGGAAATGTGACTTAGATGGTAAGGTTATTTATCATTCTTATCATTTCAATAATCTATTATCTTCTTTACAATTTCTGTACATTTGGCTACTCCCTTGAACAAAAAACATGTTACTGATCTACTAATGATGTGACTGAGTATGATTTTGCTTCAGAAAGGTTCCTTCCCTTCTCAGTTCGGCTATGTTCTGGCCTCTAGATTAAATCTCTAGTCTAGTCCAAAAATACTGTGTTTGCACAATCACATATGCCTGCTTATTGCTGACTCTTACCTCCTGGACTCTTCTTTCTCACTACTTTTATTAGAAGCTGTAATATGCTGCAGCCAGTACTGCATTGCCTGTGTTTTACAGTGCCTGGTCAAGACTGTCAGGTTCCTGGTGCTTCCTATTTAGGGAAAGGACGCATTTTTTGCATTAGTTCAAGATGTCCTTCTCTTCTGCTATATCTCACCCCTTTTACCACTGTGATAGTAACTGAATCCAGCAAACCTAAGAATGAGGCAGCTGGTCAGAAAATACAAGTACATCAGTTGGAGAGGAAACATATTCAGAAGTCATGTGAAAGGAGAGAGGAGAGAGAAAGAATGGTCTTTAAAAGTGCCAGCCAAAGGAGAGCAAAGGTGAGAAAAAAGGTTCTGTTCCGTGCTCACTCTGTCACTAACTAAAACCTTAGGCTAGCCACCTACACCTTCTGGCTCTCAGTTTTTCCATCTGCAAAATGAAACAGTAGGGCTGTGTGATCTCTAAGGCCCTTTTCAGCACTAACAGTCTAGGACTCCGTGACAAGATTGGCTCTGGGAAAAGGTAAACAAGCCAATATCACTGAGCCGGAGGCTAGCATTTTGCTTGCCTATTGTTTCTTCTGATAAGAACCACAAAAGAAAACTCAGAGCCTCCGTCTGGTGTAATAGCCATACCTATGACTGTTGCAGCAGGTTCCTTCGTGTCAGTGGCTCCCTTAGGGTGCTGTGGCTAGTGCCCTGTTGTCCTCACCCACGTAGGAATTAACTGAGTCTGACAGCTTTAGCTCCTGACCAGCAGCTCCTCTATGTCTGTATGCCAGACAAGTGTCTGACAGTTGGGGTTCCTGCCTGTTGCTCACCAATGAGATATTTAAAACAGGATATCATTTCTCAAGTATGTGGATAGGCAATTTGACACACACAGGGAGAGGGACTTGTTAGATCTCTCTCATCAGAAGCAATAAAAATTAATATAGGTTTCTGTATATCTCATTTTTCCACATTCCTTCCCCAGTTATTAAAACCTTGACCTTTTCTTCCCTTCATGCACTTCAGGTAGTTTTAGAAAGAACTAAAGTCCCGTCAAGAAGTCTGGGCGAGTAGTTAGCGTCTTGGGAGTACTAGTACTTTGAGACCCTGCTCTGGGAAGCAGTGCCAACTTTTATGTTTTTCATTGCTAATACTTATTGCTTGCCTTTTTTCCTGAATATTATTTATAGTTGTAAAACATTCTTTTTATTCAGGTTTGGTAGTAGAAAATTATGTCTCTTGGTTAAGAATCAAGCATTTCTGTAAAATTTTGCATTATTGTTAATTTACCAAGTAGACTTATCTGGATTTTTAAGCATTGCGGACTATGAAAGGGAGCATTTTTGCATTAGTTCAAGATGTCTTCTGTTCTGCTATATCTCATCTCTTACAATCTAATGAGGAGTGTATGAAAGTTGAATAGATTGTAATTATTGTTTTTTAAATTATTTTTTATAATTATGTGTATTGATTAATGTAAAGATATTCAAGAGTCTGAACTACACGCATATACGAGTGCTCGATAGCATCTATATATTTCAATACAATGACTGGCATCCTTAAAAATGTATCTGGCCCTCTTCAGTGTCACTCAGCATAGTTTATCTTAATGTGCAAACCCATTTTACAAATGCCTTGCTTTTTTCAATGAAGTTTCTTCCATGCCTTAGTTGGGATCAGTGTTGAGAGAGACTGCTGGAGAGAGACAGGAAGAAGTAGATACATTTAGAAATCATATCCTGTTTCCAGTGTTCAATACCAGTGCATTGCATATTCTACCCAGTTCTTTTTATTTTATTTTTTTTAATTTTAACTGTGACATTTTGTGGGGGAGATAGCGATTGAGGTGGGGAAGGGGGAAACCGAAGTGACTAAGGCGATCGGAGTCTTCCAGATCTTTTTCCTTTCCTGCTGTAGTATTGTGCATAGTACGTATACTTTGGGAAGGGAGAATAGGCATCTTTTTACTTTATATTTGTGATACTTTTCTCCTAAAAACTGACTGTATCTGTATGTCTATCCTTAATACATTAGTGGATGTGCAATAGTACCCTTCTAAGGAGTCTATATTGTGGTTTAGTCATGCACAGCTTTAGAAAGGTAGGAATAAAAGAAAGAAGTCCTGAGGAAATCTAGTTTGTGTGCCAGATACAGAACTAATGTCTTAAATCCAACTGTCTACATTTTCTTTAGGTGGATTGTTTTGTGGATATATATTTATTTTTGTTTTACAAAAGAATCTACGCTTTTCCCCTGTTCCTGTTTAGGCTGACATTTAAAAGAACCAGAGAGTATATAACCTGTCACATTAGGCTTTCACTGATTGGCATCTGATTCTATCTGATGACAGTCTTGGAGATAAGTTTTAATGAAGTGTCACTGTAAGGATCATTAATAAAAAACACATGGAAAGATACTTTGTTAGTGACCTGAAAATCACCTTTACCATTTTAATTTACAGTATGTATTTTGATGTGCCACAAGGAATACCTAACATGAAAAATTAAAATACAGACATCAGCTAAAGTTAGACTCTTTATTGTACAATGTGATTATATTGTATGCTTTAAAGGACATTTTAAAACATTTTGTTTAAAAAGTCACTTTATACTATTAGGGTGTACTTACATGAAGAAAAATGGAATTTATCCTAGATATTATGGTGTGTGTGTGTGTGTGTGTGTGTGTGTGTGTGTGTGTAGACCTTTAGAAAACAATTTTAATGTACATTGTGCTTGGTGCTTTAGAATGTCTATCCATACCATTTTGTTTTTGTATTATGCATATCTTATAACAGTATTAGAAACCACTTCAGTGATATTTTCTTGAGGCAAAGAACATTAAAGAAACGTTTGACTTAAGTTCTTTGGTTGATCTTTGTGTGATATGGGGAACAATTTTTATAGTGCCTCACATTATATGATAATTTTTAGAGGCTACTTTTAGTTAATAGATGCTATGAATACTAAAGTTGAATTATAGTTAAAGATAAAAATTGTAATTTATTCGTATGATAGTAGTATAAGATATTGTATTGCTGGATCAACATTTGATCTGTTCCTTTATTTTTAGAAGTCTGTCAAGTTTTGAAATTTAAAGCAGTTTAAATATGTTGAGTGAGTAGAGTTGTATAATACATATGGATTTATGTTTGAGCAAAGGTTTGAGAACTATATGGCTTGGAAATGAGGTGGGATTTTATTTTTAAAATTGGAAGGGAGTGTTTTTTAATATTTTGATTGGGTTAGACTTGATCATTTATTGGTGTAAATGACCATGGACTGAAAATGTTAATAAAAGTAATTTTTGAGAGGAAGTCATTGTTAGTGATCCTGATGTTTCATTTACCTGCAGCCCTGCTGCCCTTGGTAAACTCGAAAGTAAAAGCTTATTTCTTGGGTAATGTAAGTAAGCCTCTCTATTTTATTGTGTTTTTGTTAATTTGCATTGCTGTCAGGAATTTCCCAAATCCTACAGTACTGCCTTGTGTGATGTGTTATGTGTGAGCTTTGGAAATTCCAGTTTATCTATTGATTTACAAACCTTGGGAAGAATGCCAGTAAGTAACATGCCATACCCAGAATAGCACCTTCTTTAATCTGAAGGAATTGGGTAAGAATTAGGGTAAATCTGGGCAGGAACATAGTTGGATAAACTAGAGTATGAACAATGATTAAGTACAATTTAGAGTAAAAATTTCATTTTAGAGGCTATATGTATTAGAAACCCAGTTTGCCGTATTCAGCATATTACCACAAATACTGTTGATAGCGTTATTTCTAATATTTGATTCAAAATCATTCTAGCAGAGGCCTAAGAGATAATTGGACTTATTAGTCTATAAGCTTATAGTTTTACATCATTGTCCTTTGGCATTTACTTTTGAATGAGAATGAAAAGATTTATATCAATGTGTCTTCAGTGACAATACTACTTTGGTTAATTTAGAAATCCTGAAGTGACTGTGATTTTTTTAAATTGAATTTTAAGGAGCATTTTGAAAAGGAAGAGAAATGAGGTACTGGATACGAAATACATATTCCCAACTATGTGTGGACTTTAGAAGACTACAAAATGACAGACATGATATTTGTGAATCAATAAATATAAAAAAAGAAGGGTAGAAAGAGATATTGAAAATGTAGTTAGGTTAAATTAGTGGAGAGTTTAGAAATTAAGATAAAAATAAGTTAAGATGGGTAAGTGAAAGTATAAATGGTGAACTAATTAGTTGGAAGAACAGTCTTTTTTTTGTTTTTTCTTGCCTTACTGAGATATTAACTAATAGCTGAGGAATAGATTGTACTTAAGTTTCTTTATGGGCACCATTTGTTTTTATATTTGTTGCAAGTATAATAAATCTCTGGAACCTTTGACTATTATTATATGGAGCTTCACTATTAATGTTGTGTTTAGAAGAGTATTACATTGAGATATTACATCAGAGTTTTCTTGTAATTATTTTATCATTACAAAGCTATACAATATAATGTTAGTATACAAAATATACTAAAAATTAATATTTTCACTTGAGATATCTGATTATTATATCTGATATCTAAAGCAGTTTACATTTGGGAAGCCAATGTATACCACAAAACTGTACTGTAAATGTACATATTCTTAAGACTGTCTTATTTTGGAACTTTTATAACTTACACTGACATAGAGAGAATAGCATAATGAATCCCCATGTGCTCATCACACATTTAACAATTAGTACCTTCTATTCTTAGGTCTATATAATTTGAGGTATTTGTTTATTGAAATAAACTTGAATCTTTTATCCTATGTTACTCTGAAACAGTGTTAATCTAATTTTAAGAATAGACTCAATGTGGACTTGAAACAATGCTTACATTATTTTTAAGACGCAATATTTAAGTGTGACTGGTCATGTTGTTTCTTCTCAGCACAGCATTTATTTAAATCAGGAAGTTTGTTCTTAGTTGTTGGTAGAGTCTTTTGTTTAGTAACTCTAGGTTCTTCTACTTGAAATCTGGCCTATCATTAAAATGGGAGCAAGCTCAAGGACAGCAGCCCGTGATTGCAGGGCACAGGATAACAACTGAGATATACTTCTCAGAGTTGAAATGATGCTAATCTTTTGTATGTCATTCTTTTGGGTAGATTTGGGTAAACTGGTAAGAGCCATTTTGTAAGTGAAGAAAACCAACTATCTTCTGGAATATTCCCTTCAAAGTTAGCTATTCAGTTACGGGGACATAATAGAAGAGAGTAAAGGAAGTGACATTCATTACTAGGAGCTCATGCAGTGATAACATATAACACCATTCAAAGTTTAATATTTTCTGATTCACCAACTTCAGGGAATGAAGAAGTTTTCT